TTCCAAGTAGATTGCAGCATACAGACCAACCCTGGAAGTGCAAATGGCAGGATGCACAAGTGCAGGAGACAGTTGGTGGTGAGAGTGAGATAAGACGTTTCGGTCCATTAGGTCATATACGTAGTTGCGGGTATCTGCGATAATCGCTAAAGAATTCGATGTCCGGTTTTACTGGGGAAATGCCGGAGACACGCTTCGTTTTCACGCAAAACTGAAATATAAAATGGTGGGGTCACTGGAATCATATGTGTGTGTGTTTGTTTGTACATCCGAGCGATTCGTTTCTGAACTTCGGTGAGTCTACTTCCATTTCTGTGTGGAGAATTAAACCAGAATTTAGTGATGTTTTTGTGCAGTGCAACTAAGGAGATCATCGAAATATTTATTACAGCGTCGAAGAACGACAAAAGTAAAAAAATAACAACAACGAAAGGTTATCAGTGGGCCTAGGACTGCAGTGATCCAGATGTGCGGGCACACGGAGGTCACACTTGTAGCACAAAATAATTCTCGCAACTCCATTCGATCCGGAAACCGTCTCCGTTATCGGCCGTGCTATCATCACTGTAAAATTCGAGCAGCACCTCACTTCCCGGTGCAATAGGTATTTCTTTCGGGAAAGCAGCCTGCAATAAGAGCTCAGTGCAGCTGAACTCCTGTAAATTGTTCTTTCCTTTCCGGAGGAACTTAATTTATATCAAGGAATTTGATTGCTGTTGAGTAGCTTCTCGTTCTGATAAGTGATGAGGGCAAGTGGTCAGCAGCGGAGAAAAGAGATACTGTGGTTATCAACGGGCCGGAAGAGTTGCTTGCCTAAGTAGACCCACCTTTCTTGCACAAATTAGCTTTTACAGCTTACCGGCGCATTTCACACGTCATGCCACTTCCCAGCACCGCACCAGAGGACGTGCATTGTGTTGTTTGGTATGGCAAACTACAAATGATTCTCTACTACACAATTAGGAAATGATGCAGTGAAACGGGGAAATTCATTTAATATTGCAACAAGAGCAAGATACTGTTACTGCTGCACTCGCCTACACTCTGAACCAACAGTACGGGACGAAAAGTGATAGCATGACAGTGGGAAATGACGCTTTCCTTTTCAAGAATGCAAAGTGCTTCACGATACAATGAGGTCCAATTAAGCATCGATCCATTGAGAAGCTATCAATCCACAGGTACGCTACTGTAGTAATGATAAGTACTAAAACTCAGGGTCCCTCAGCACGTTGATCTTTCAAATGGACGAGCGATGGTACCATCTCGCTGTCGAAGCACTGCTCGAAAAAAAAAAATACATGCGAAAAATGGTTTAGGAGCCGTACACGTTTATCGTGGATCGTGACGAACTGGCAAACTGCAGAAGAATTGGTCACTCGCGCATGCTTTCTAGAAATATGGAAGAATGTCACAGTCTACCAACTCACTTCGCTGTACTAATAAATTCAATTGATTTAACGAAACTTGGCCAATGTCCGTGCAAGTGGAAAGCGGAGAAATAGCCTTAAAGACGATAGATGTACTGGCTTGCCTGAGATAGGAACAGACCAACTGTGGAAGAATGTCAATGCCTGGTCTGGGTGCAGTGCCCTGGCACTCACGCCTGAAGATAACTGGTCCGTCTTAACAGGCGATGGCTGAAGATGTTTCTGGAATTTCTTGCTTTGCAGTGCAGTAATAAGAATGTTCAGCAGAACTAGATTCGGTTTTCCGAAGTACGAAGGAGCAAGAACAATGAGCCGATTAAACCATCAGCAGACTGACTCCTCTAGCATGGTGCAATTTCGACTATGGCAACCACGAAAGGACTCGCCGCATGCGCTGATGCCGCTATAGGGTGGCCGGCTCTACTGTTTGAATTCAGATTTAGTTCGCAGCCTGAGCGTGCCAAGTAATTTCTGGAATGAAAAAGCTTACAGCATCTCTACAGGGCAAATAATCCAGCGGCGTGCTGCCAGCTGCGCCGGGTGCAATTTCGCCCATCAGCATGTGATCACCTTCAGTGCACTGGCCATCCACATTCTTACCAAAATTCATCGTAAGAAGAATTAATTTGCAATTGTGACCATTTGGCGGATCAATCCTCCACCTGTAACGGCTTACAGTTGCTGGATTGAGAGTCTAGATCCCTCACCGCACTCTTGTGCCACTTCACTGACAAACTGTCACATTCTGATGACAAAATATAAACCAGCGTTTGCTGCTCGCACACGAATTGCTCTGCTTTTACAAGTCCATATTTTGAACAACCAACATCCTGGCAAAGTTACAACTTCTTACTCTTCAATTGGCACGGTGATAATTTAAAATTTGATGTGTATGTATGTGTCATCTAATCATACATGGACAAGGAAGATCTTCGTGAAACTACAGCTTTCTAGCTTCTTTGATCTCCGAATTCGTTTCCCGCCAAGAAATCTTCTACATGTCCGCATGTGAGAACTAGCGGGAAGATCTTGTCCCCTTCCTCTAAGTTCTGCTTGCCTTTCACC